TTAATATCATTATAATTTTTGATAGAGAAAAATGATATTATTTCGGGTATTTTGTCTTGATGTTGAAAGACGAATGGATAGTTTGAAAAACTATTCCATAGTTATTTGTCCTAGACAGTGTTTATCAAGTGTTTGACGCTTTACAAAATAAGTCCAGATGTATTATATTCAGTGAGGAGCCTGTTTAAAGCAGTATGTTGAAAGAGTACAGTTTTGTATACCTACCCTAAGAAAATAAGATAATAATAAGGTAATTATACTAATGCTCTGCATCTTCTTGGGGAATTCACTGCAAACCAGTTTGCTCAAAACAGAGCAGCTTTTGGAAATATTCTGTAATTTTGCATCTTCAAGAGACAGAGTTTTGTGATAATGGAGAAGTTATCTGTAGTCTAGTTTTTTGAGAGAAGAGGAATATTAAATAGAGTAGCAGAAAATAAAGAATAGAACAGGCTAATAGATATTAATTTTAGGAGTAAAATAGTTTTTGTTTTGTTCTGGAAAAAGTTTTTATGCATGGTTTCTTCTGCTGTTCACGAGCATAAAGTTAGACATGAGGGACGAGCAAATGATCCATAGTACTAGCTAGAAAAAGTGGGAGAAACATTTTGAGAAATATAGCTTGTGGCTTAAGTAAAAATGCTTGCACCTTGTTGATCTGTATGTAAGACCTCAGGCAATTTACTTAATGGATTTTTTTTGTGGGGCTCCATGGAAAAAAATACATCTGTTTAGTATAATCCAAAACAAAAATAGACACTTCGTGATTAATGAAAGCTACAAGAAAGATTTTCCAGGGGTTGTGAAACCATGTTCCTTTTACAGTTAAATCCATTATATCTGCCAGGTATTATCAAAGAATGGACAATTTATTTAACTTACTACAACTGGGATAAAATAGAATATTTATACAGAATATTTTAAGTATCATCATTGAAGCTCATCATCACAACAGAAACAAATTCATGCTTTGGGGTGTTCTGAAGTTCCAGCTGCAGCTGAGGGAGACTGTGTCAGGGGATTTAGTTGCATACCCAAATAAGCTTCATTTTGTGATGGAGTTGTGAGGGCCGTGGCTAAGCATTGCTATTTCTTGCAAATAAAGCATACCCATAGCTCCTTTTACCTTTGGATATCCTTTTGACTTGTGATTCCTAGCCAATGTGAAGACTGTCAGAAGTTTTTGCTATCTGAGCCTGTAGAGACCTGTCATAAAGGTATATACAAACAAGCAAAGCAAAAAAAAAAAATTTTGCTTCAGAGAACAAGTCATCAAGATGTGGGATTTGGTCACCTAGGCATTGGCACTGAAAGCTATTTGAAATGTATGAGGGCAACTGCAACATCTGGGATGTATGACATGGTTCCAAGAGTAGACTGACATCTTTTTCAAAGGGTAGGTCGTCTATCTCACAGCACATTCAGTGATACCAGAGATGGTTTCAGTACCTACATGGCATGAAGTGTCGCTTTAGGTCCTGAGTGTACCCCTCAAAGCCTCCGCAGGTCTGTAACAAGAGCTTAGAAAGCTGATGGGCTTCTAGGTAAACATAGGTAACACAGGATGGCAGAGAAATGATTAAACAGACAAAGGAGGCTGAGTAAAGGGTAAAGACAGCAGTGTCTCAATAAATAAAAAATCTCGGTTAGCTGCCAGACTGGTACATGATCACAGTAGTTTTTAGGCACAAACTCAGCAGTGTGTGATAAAACTGCAGTTGAGAATCTTTAGAATAGACGCTTTTTTAAACCAATGAATTAGGTTTACTAGACTATCTTGCTGGCTTTAAATTTCATGTGACTATAGCACTTGCTGATAATGGCTAAAATAATGAATAATATTATAGGCTTTTATGGGGCAAGGGAAGACTTCCCATTTAAGGAAAAATTTCAGAGAAAGGAGAAAGGTATTTGAGTGAAATGAAGGTAATTAAGAAAAGTCAGATTAAAGATGCTGAAAGAACTAAGGCAGCAGTAAGGCTTGCAATAAACTTCATTTTAAAATATGATAAAACACTGAATAAACCTTACATGAAATTTGACATAAAAGAAGAGGGGGAACAAATTTACTGATTCAGAAGTGCAAGATGGTCCAACTCATGTAAGGACAGAAATCACTAAAGTGCAGTAGATGCTTAGATTTTTAGCTATTCTGACTAGAAATGTAATGCTATGTTTTATTGGTATTGCAACTGCATATGTGATAAATACAAACCATTTAAAATAAGTTTTCTGAAAAGACAAAGAAAAGAAAATCTAGAATTAGAACGCATTTTTCGTATTTCATATGAATAAAATGTTTATTGATAGCTTTGTAAAGGACATCCCCAAAGGCAATTTTTTTCCGTAGGCCAGTGAATCATGAATTATTCCACAGCATTGATTCTGTTACTCCCAGTGGGTGGCAGTTTTCCCATTTGTAGTAGTTCCAAACATTGTGTTTCCCTTAGTAGCAGAAAAATTGCATGATGAATCTGTTTCATATTAAGTTTTGATTAAACACAGTTATTTGCGATAATTTTAGTTACAGTATACTCTTCACAAAAATTATGTTTTTGTCTTGCAAATGGAGTAAAGCTAGTTGCTTCACCTCATACTTTAAAGTAAGAATGCATTTTTTGATTATTAGAGTCAGGTTTCTTTGATAGTTTAGTTAGTGTTATGTAACCCTATTAAACAAAACTTCCTAATAAAAATGCCTTATTACTCATGGTGGACAAAAAAATGCTCAGATTTTGAGGATTTGTAGTGCATGTGAAATCTCTGTTCAGGCTCTTGACCTAGAAGTTAGGGAAGGAACTCAGGATCTCTAAGCTACTTTTTCACTTTGTCTTCTGGTAAAGTGAAAATAATTCTGATTGGCATAACCAGGCATTATCCATGTAAAAGGAAGTAACAAATTGGGAATAGATAATGAGAAGGAAAGCAAATTTAGGTTTTTAGGCATCCTTGAGCTGATCCTACAGAAATTAGTCCTTGTAATTGCTGAACCATGGAAGCTATACAGAAAAATAACTCTTATGGTAAAAAACTCATTCTTTATGACCAAATTAGCCACTTCATTCTCCTTCTGTGCCAGCTGACATGTGGAGAAGAGCTCTGAAAATCTCCACCCCATGTACTCTGGGAATCACTCACATTAGCAGAAGTGATAGATTCAGTCTTAGATGAGTTAATGTTGATGAGCCATAAGAGAATTTTAAGGGTCTGGACCGGCTTCTACTGAAGTAAGAGCCCGTTCCCTGTACTCCAGTAGTGCAGGGTCTATCAGAAGAAAAAAAAAAGGGGGGGGGGAGTAAATATTACTTAATTTTACAGTCATTCTTTGAGTTTTATCCTTCTTTGCCACCAATGTAAAGGTAAAGTTAAATGTCTTGTATCTGCAATTTCTTTTAGCCAAGAAAGTTCAACACAGCTCAGTGGGATATTGTGTTTCTTCTTTTAGCCATGCTTATATAATGGTAAATAATTCTCTGTGTTGGATAAGTATATGGAACTGCCATCTCTCAGCCCTGCAAATAGCATAGAAATGTAACCATGGAAAGCTTTGGTGCCTCCTTTCGGTATGAGAAGGTTGCTGCCTGGTGGGGGGTTTTTTCAGCATGTATGAAATTCTATTTTGTATTAGAGGTACAGAATTTTATAGTTTAGTTTTATATTTTACAGCTACAGAAATTAACCGTTAAATAATTATACTGAGAACTCATGGACAAGTCTGGAAGTTCCTAAATGTGGTGATAAATATTTGTGCAAAAGATCTAACATGGTCGTGGACAAAAGTTTAGCAAATATATGTATGTTACACAACATGAACGGAAGTCATATAATGAGACGTTATTTTCCAGTTCTTTTTATCATGTTCTTTGGCCTCGTCTTTTAATGATAGGTACACTGGAATTTTGATGACCTGAAAAATGCTCAGGATGTCATAGTTACTAACTCATGTGCCATTGACCAATGAACTCTTTCTGCTCATTATTAACTAGAAGCTGGGTGTAAACTGCAAAACAATGGAGCTATCTTTTCCAAGCCAGTGTTGCACAGATGTAATCCATATGGAAGCTATCAGCTTATTCCTGGCTGTTACATTCATGTTTTTTTTTTTCCCACAGAATGCATTTGGTTTGGTGGTGTCTACAATAGTCCTCTTCTTTTCACTGCAGCACATTAATTTCAATATTAGAATAAAATGTAAAGTCTGTAAGCCAAATTCTTGCTGCAAATTAATGGTGGTACAAGAGAGAACAGTGTCTGCCCAATAAATTTGAAGAGTTTTAGAAAGAAAGATACCTGTTTTTTTTTTTAAAAAAAAAAGCTTAACTGAATGTAGACTACAGTTTTAAGTGTATACGGAGTTTTGTTTTAAAACTGAATTATGTTCAATTAAATGATCACTATAAGAAAACTGAGATACACTGTAGAGCTAGATAAGCAATGATGCTAAGGAAATGACAGAGATTTTCAAGGTGGAAGCTATCATACATCAAATGTAATTATATGTAATTATAGCTATCTCTTGGGTTATGTTATAGTCACTGTATTTTAGACAGGAAAATAAGATGTGCCATACTCATGATCCTGTTGACCAGGACTTTTACTGGAAGAAGATGTGCTCTAACTTATGTGAGAAATCTTATGGATAGTGAAAAGTAGTTTCTTTCCTGTGTTAGTCAGAGTTCTCAGTACAGCATTGCAGCCCTTGATGGGAACTGGGAGCATCTGAGCCTGCCCAATGGCAGACATGGGCTCCTGGCGTGAAAGCACTGGGGGCAACTGAATGTTAGTGTTTCATTGTATCCCCAGGTGAAATAGTTTGCATGTTTCCAGCTGCAGCTCTTTTCTCTTATGTGTTTTTTTTTTTTAATTTTCTGTTTACTGCCCGTATTTTGAACCCCAGTCAGATGGTAAATGTTAAATTTATGAGGACATGGCAGGGCTTGTGTATTATTTTCTGGAGAAACTATTCCATATATTTAAAAGGTTTTCTTTTCTCCCCTTAGGGAATTCCTGGAATCCCTGGAAATCAAGGAGCAAAAGGACAAAAGGTAGTATTAATAGTTCAAAACACAGTTAAAACCTGTGCATCTATATCCCCATTCCAAAGTAAGGGTTCATACTCTGCTGAGAGGAATATTTTCATAGTGGGGATTTAGAACATGAAATCATGCTACAAATGAATGGAGACATGCTCCAAATTTTTTGTGGCATTTGAAAGTCTCTCATTGGGTTTTCTCTGTACTATTCGAGAAGCCTGAAGAAGAGAAGGCTGCGAGGGGACCTTATAAATGCTTACAAATATCTGAAGGGTGGGTGTCAGGAGGATGGGGCCAAGCTCTTTTCAGTGGTGCCCAGTGACAGGACAAGGGGCAATGGGCACGAACTGAAACACAGGAAGTTCCGTCTGAACATGAGGAACAAGCCCCGCCTGGACAAGGTCCTGTGCAGCCTGCTGTAGGTGACCCTGCTTCGGCAGGAGGGTTGGACTAGATGGCCCACAGAGGTCCCTTCCAACCCCTACTATTCTGTGATTGTGTGATTCTGTGAATGAATAATTTACAAGTAACAAAGTTAATGTCATAATAGTTTGAGAAATAATCCTAACTAATTTAATCTGCATAATTATAGAATATTTTAAAAACTTGTTAATTTTACATACATTAATCACAGAACTCTTCTCTTTATCTGACAAATGCAGGGTGAAATTGGACCACCAGGTCAACCAGGAGTGAAAGGGTCACCAGGGGATACTGTAAGTTTGCAAAATGGTGTTATTATGAACAAATAATGCTGATGCTGTCATTTTCTAATTGTAATAAACAAACAAGAAGTAGCAAATATAGTACCAAACTAGTGTTTTCAGGTTGGCAAATATGATCAGACTAAGTCTAATCTCTGAATTCCCCCCAGAATACTGTATACTCACTTTTCTTTTAAAATTGGTATCCTGACTGCACATTTGATAAACAAATCCAGCAAACACATTAGTCTGAATTTTCTCTCTGATTTAATTGCTTTGAAAGTACTCAAATAAATTTATTAAGAAAGTTAAGACCGACTTAAGTATTGTCGCAGTGTACAATGGGTTTCTGAAGAAGAATTTTAGGATGCTTTTGTGATAGTGTTCTTTTGACAAAGACTGGGAGAATAGCTGAGATCATTGAATTCCCAAAATGCTTGAAGAGAGATTTTTATTTTGGGATGTAGGAAATGGAAAATAATTCATTCTTTTTGGACAGTCCAGCTTATCACGTCTTTGTTACTGTCTGAGTAGGGTTATTTCCGTGTTCTTTATAATCCTTTAGAAATCACAGTAGTAAAATAATTTTTCTGAATGTTGTTGCAAGTGTATATAGACTTTAAAAAATGGAAATTTTAAAGGCAAAAGGGACAGCTGCTTAGAACTGGTTAGATATCTTTCATCAATTAGGAGGAACTTCATCATTGGTTGAACATATGCTGCCTTAAAAAATAATTATGTTTTCTATTGGAAAGTTCAACAATGTTTACATGGTTCCATTATTTATCATCCTTGCTGTTAACATGACTTTTCGTAGTTTTTGATTTGTGCTATTTTATCTTCTTTGCTGATAAATTTTGCCTTCTTGGCTGATTAAAATGCTTCTGATCTTCCTGAGAGATACATGGCTTAGCATCATAAATACACTGTTTGCTCTGACTTATTTAGTTAAAGAACTTATGTTTCATCCTGTATTCGACCTCGAGCAGATCAATATAGACTATTTCTGCTAGAATGAAGTAAATACTGTAGAGAATTAAGTGCAGAATTAAGACTCATGCTATTAACTCTATGGACAGCAGGGCACTAAATGACTAAAAAGTTTTAACCTTCTAAGAAATTTGTTGTTTATTCTTAGTGTATATAGCCAGATGATAGTATAAGAGATTTGATGCAGTTGTATTCAGGCTACAGAATTAGTAACACTTGTCAGGGAAAAAATTGGATAACGCTTCTTGATTTGTAGCATATGTGAATGTTTTAATGTGTGATAACAATCGGGAGAAGATAATTTGCCTTTTTCTTGCCTTTTTGCGTCATCCTGACATTCACTATAAATTGTGCATGTAATGGGCTTGTCCATGCCCAGTCCAAACAGAAGATACAACTTCAATTTCTCAGGGAAGCCAAGAAAGCAGTTCAGTGAAAATATTTAACTGGGAAATTTCAGCATTTCTGTAGTGTTTCTAGTGGGTTAAATATGATTATATGGGAAACTGTAAGATTCTGCTTGATTTCTTTAGCTTAGAAAATGCATTTGAAGACAAATAATGACAAATAATGAGTCCAACTCCATCTGTGATTTTTGATTTTGATAGCAATAGTGTTCAGTTTTCTAATATCTGAACCAAGAAATATCAGATTCTTACAAACACTTTGATATCATTGCTTTTATAAATAAGAGACTAACATGTAAACACGTCTTACAAAAATTCATCTCAGAGCAATAATTCTCTTGCTAATTAAATCTGTCTGAAATAGAAAGGTAAAAGGAAGTAGTAAATGAAATTATCTGGACAAAGCTGAGGGACTTGAACAGCAGCCAGAAGGAACTGCACGGGACAGACCTTCAGAAAAATCATTAGAAGTAAGGAGATGGCATTCATGAAACAGAAGAGATTGAGCAGTTTAGAAAGTGATGCCTGCATTGTAGGTACAAATGGCACTGACCATTTTATTCCTAAATAGGGAAGCTATGCTTTAGTAGTGGCGGTATTTCTTCTATCAGCAGCAAAAGGCAAGGCTATGGCAAATGTAAGTTTTTAGCCCAGTGGCATCTTTTAAGTTTGGAAACTGTAGATGAAAGCTGTGAACTGTTCTTTCTGCTGCCCTTGCCATGGCGTTAAGCCTCTTGATATTTTCCCAACAGGTGACAGAACATTGCTATAGATTCTTGGATTTTGGTAATTGCTAGCAGAGTATATTGTTCATTTTCATAACTTGTCTGCCTCTGAATTTGTCTACTCTTTACATCCAGCCATCAGTCTGGATTTCATCCATTCCATAAGACAACGGAGTTTCAGATGCCACTTTGTAGTGTTAAAAGTAGAAGAAAGGGAGAGGGCTCGTTTTGAACTTAAAAAAATCAGTACTTATATCTGCAAGGTCAAATACAGAATAGTCAGTGGCTTTCTAAAAGGGACTTGATGTTCATTCCTCAGTCATCAGGATGCCTACTGTCACACTGCTAATGCCATCTTACTGTCAATATCTACCTTTCATGGCAGGACAGGAGTAATCTTTCCAGGGACCTTTCTTTTTAGCTCTCAGTGATTCCAGTGTTGTTTACCCAGGTTCTTGTGGTGGCTTGTGCCTCATTTTGGTGAGTGACAGGAACCTTGAAGAAAGAGGATGCTAAGGATCTCGATATGGACCTTTTGATTCTCTGTCTTGCTTGCTGAATCTCTCTAAAATCCTAGTTAAGTTTACCATCTTCTAGAGTACATAAGGACAGACGTGATACCAAAATTATTTGGGGTTTACCTCCTGATGCATCATTTCCCATTCTAAAGATAATCCTTGTTTGGATGGAGGTCAGCAACACGTATGTCTGACCATCTTGGTACGTGCAGTCTTGCATAACTATATGTTGCTGCATGCCAGACTATTCCTGGACCTCCTGAGGAGGAATCTGCATTGTTGCTTTCCCAAATTAACCGTATGATGGTAACTACTAGCCTAAGAGTCACTTAGATACTAGTGCTGGAAGCTTCTTCAGGGTATGGCACTTCTCTGTCCAGGTTGTTACTGGTGAATGTTTCTCTCCTAAGACAGAACAGGTACCCCAAACCAGGAGTCTTTTTTTCTCCAGAGAAAAAGAAAATACATATTGACGTATTGGAATTGAGAGCTTTAAGAGGAGTTTGTTTATAGAGAACCCAGGTTAAGTGCTCACTATAAGCAAATAGTGACTGAAGACATGATAGATTCCATCCACAAGCAAAGTGATGAAAGGGTTTTTCTTCTTTTCTGGGAAGATATTGCTAATTGTTTTGTCAGATATCTGAATCACATATGAGTCTTGAGCATGGATTCACCAAGGGGAAATCATGCCTGACCAATCTAATAGCTTTCTACGATGACATGACTGGCTGGATAGACGAAGGGAGAGCCGTGCATGTTGTCTACCTTGACTTCAGCAAGGCTTTCGATACAGTCTCCCATAACATCCTCCTAGGGAAGCTCAGGAAGTGTGGGCTGGATGAGTGGTCGGTGAATTGGATTGAGAACTGGCTGAATGGCAGAACTCAGAGGGTTGTCATGAGCGGCGCTGAGTCTAGTTGGAGTCTGGTAACTAGTGGTGTCCCTCAGGGGTCAGTACTGGGCCCAGTCTTGTTTAACTTCTTCATCAGTGACCTGGATGAAGAGTTAGAATGTACCCTCAGCAAGTTTGCTGATGACACCAAACTGGGAGGAGTGG